GCACTTGACAGCTAACCAGAAGGCTGGCAATTCAAACCCACCAGCCAATCCTCAGAAGGAAGGTTGGCCAATCTGCTTCTGTAGCGATATGGCCTCAGAAACCCAAGGAGGGGTAGCTATGAGTCAGGTTTATTTGACGGCACATAACAACAAGAACAGCATATGATTGCAATAAAATCAGTAGGAGAACTAAAAGCATAAAGTTTACAATAATAAGAAATAAAATTATTAGTAATAAAGCAAAGAAAAAAAAACTTTATTGTTGTTTTATGGATGAATTTTTTCCTTTGCACGTTTCTGTGACTTACATGTACATAAAGAGCTATTAAGTCTTCTGCAGTTTTTTTTTTTTTTAAATGAATGGAGTGAAGCTAATAATACAAATGTCCCCAGAGTTTTAAAATAATAATTAACAACAAGATATCACAGGGGACCGTGTTTCATCTAATTATTCAAATTGTTTTCCCCAAGGCAAACCTTCCATGATATTTTATTTGTCCCACCTCCCAACGGCCATGATAGCATATATGTGACATAATTTGGTGTCAGATATTAGCTACTAGACCTGCTTTTCTCTATGCTAACACTACATTTTCTTAATAGGTTGGAGAAAAGTTGTTTACATGAAATATTGAATGAAACGTTTACTTATGTAAACGCCACTATGTTTACGTTTGTGTCTGTGCTAATAGAAGACTAATCAGGAAAATACCTGGAGCTCATCAATCTTAGCAAAGGAACCTTCAATCAATGAACCACACAAGTGCTTCTGTATTTGGGTGAGCTTATTTAATTCTTGTGTTTTACTTTAACAATTAAAAGATAATCTTTACAGGGTTAATCTTTACAAATACATGTTGCCACTGAACTGCCCTACAGTCTAGTCAATCTGGCTTGGAGAGGGCTTAAGGTGTTAGTCCCTTACTCATTCTTATTTTCAAGTGATATTTCCTGGCTTTCGGATCATATATCCAGCAATGTACTAGGTATTTTTATTGATAGAGAAAAATCGAATACGGACTTTGTTCTCAAAATTCTTAGAATGCCTGAGAAAGAAAATGACAATAACCATCATACTTATAAATGATAGGGTATAGCATATGGTAATTGTGAATTATAAAG